TAATATCTGCTGAGAGACAGAGCTGTGTTATGGAAGTCTATGAGGGGAGCGAGAGGGAGTTTACTTTATGAGATGCTTGCAGCTAAATCAACAAAAAGTCACAGTATAAAATTTCACGTCTCAAATTTCTAAGCATTTCTTACAGTTTTCAATGTAATGTGTGTATGTGTAAATATATAAATATATAGCGAATTGCGTTAACATATTGGGTAATCATTATTTACTGGACAATCATTATATAGGTGTCTGGTCATATTTTTGGAAGAAAATTGATTGGAAAGCAGAATGACAAAGAATAGGCATATAAAATAACAAAACAGGAAAGAAAAAAGTGAAGAACATTGTTTTGTAGGACCCCAATGCCTGTGAGCGATGCTCAGGGGCTTTGCTAGGTGTTGTACAGATTGTAGACCGCACAATTTATATGTGAAACAGGAATCAACATGTAGATGAAGCTAATAAATGAGATTGAAGGGGACTGGAAGGCTGAGGTTACAATAAACCAAACAGAGTTGGGTTGTAGTGCAGAGGTTTTGTTTTTGTTATTCACTGTTTCAGGGTCACAGCTGGGGAAAGTTTCTGACACTTTTTTGTGGGGGAAGGGAGATATGTTCTCTTGTATTTTTACAGGAGAAGTTGGCTAGAAACACTTAAACATATTATAATAATAAATTGATTTAATACTGCCAGGGCTGGCACAGACTGGGGGGATCACTGTTGTAATTCAATCAGATGAGCTGGAAAGAAATCCTTCGTTGTCTAGGTAGTAAAGAGTGGTAATCTTTAAGGAAAATGTGCCTAGCATTATTTATGTAAGTGATAGGGTTCAAAAGCCAAAGCAGGGAGAAAATTTGTAGTTTGTAGAAAACATTCCACACACATACAAGGGAGCAATACACTAGCTTGGTTAGCTAGCAAAGTCACTGGACTAATAATCAGAAGACATGGAATCAGTTTCCAGCTCTGTCATAGACTGACCTTTAGCCATTTCTACACAGTGGATGTAGCACTCAGCTGTGGTCCCTTCTGGCATGGCAAGCTGGTTCATGTAGGCTGCCCCCCAAATGGCAAGTAGTTTAGCTCTGTTCACTTGGCTCTGGGCAGAAACTAATTAGCATGGGAGCAGGCTAATTGGAGTCAGTCAGCAGTGTTAATTGGTTTGCCCAATTGGTTTGCCAGTGTGGGTGTAGCTATACCACTTCTGGTTTAGGAACTGGCCCATAAGGAGCAGCGTGCCAAACCTGAGGGCACTGCTGCATGCTACTGTAAGGTTGTTGAGTAGCCAGAGCCAGTGTGACTCAATCCATTAATATATTTAAGAATGAATGGTAAGCACAGGCATAATCCCACTGAAGTCCTGCAGCATTCTAACCATCAACAATAATCAAATATGGAAGTAATTCTCATAAGTAACTCTCTGATCCTTTCTACCATTGCTAATAAAGGCAATGAGACTATTCACATGCATATAGTGAAGCACTAAATTAAGTTCTTTGCTAGGACGGTGGGTAGGAAAAGGAAGAGTGGTGTCATTTTTGTCTCACTCTGTACTTCTGTGCCCAATCTGGAAAATGGAGATGATAGTACCCCCTGCCATCACAGAATCATAGTAAGTTAGGGTTGAAAGGGACCTCAGGACGTCATCTAGTCCAACCCTCTGCTCAAAGCAGGGCCATCCCCAACTCTATCATTCCAACCAGGGCTTTGTTGAGCCAGACCTTAAAAACCTAGAAGGATGGAGGGTCCACCACCTTAATAGGTAACCTGTCTCAGTACTTCACCACCATCCTAGTGGGAAAGTTTTCCCTAATATCCAACCAAAAACTCCCTTGCTGCAACTTGGGACCATTGCTTCTTGTTCTGTCATCTGTCACCACTGAGAACAGAAAAAAATCCCCTTTTTTTCCTCTTGCTGTATTTAATAATAAACTTCTGCCAGAAAATAAGCAAAATGAAGCAAGTTTGGAGTAAAAATCTTGTATTATCTGTCTTGGCAATTTAGTTGGCCAAGTCTTCAGGGCAGGGATTGTCTCTAACCACATGTATATACAGTACTTAACACAATGGGTGGGGCAACAATACTGTTTGGGGGTTCTACCTTCTTCTGTTCAATAAATAATTAATATTACATACTGGCTACCATAAAAAGCTGAAAATTCCTTTGTGAATTATAATACATGTCAAAGGGCTACTCACCTCATTTTTTCCTGTTAGAGTGACTTGTGCTCTCATTTTAGATGAGGAAATTGAGCCATGAGGCAAAGCAGACATTTATTAACAAATAATGGCAGAATAAATTACATTTATGGATCTTTCCTCATTTTTTTAATCATAAAAAATGATCCAGCAGCAGTTTGGTTTATAGCCTCTTACACTAAAGTGAATGCTGTTACAAAGATGGATATACATGACCCCACTTTGAGCACTATAGATGAATGATTGCTGTGGGTGACATTCACCATGGTTCAGACGGTGAGCACAAGGCCTGAACATCATTTAAAGTTCCAGTTTGGGCTTTTAGTTGGATTAAGTGGTGAATGAGGCATGTCTTGACTCTTTGCACAGGGGTGAATTATTCAATATGTGCATATAACATGGAATCAGTGTGCACCCCCTACACTCAGAAGGGCTCCAGAGCTCCAGGGTTCAAAGACAATACCTTCTATCAGACATGTGATGGGCAATTGCCAAGCTGCCTAATCAAGTTCTACTTGACTGCAAAGAACGTTACTCATACTGACCCATCTGAAGTGGGGCACATGAAAAAAAAAGGGACAATGTGCTATTCTTAAACCAAACATTTTCAAACTGATCCTTCCCACCCTAACCAAATCCCCCCAACATCCCTCAAGCATAATCATGAAGAAAAAAAATAAAAGTAAGAACAATGGGAAATGACTTTTTGAAAGGATGATTTGGTCCATATGTGGCAGGCAAATTGTTGCTATGAGTGATGAGATCAGTAAAGTGTAAAACTGGATCCCACAGTACACATCTGTGCCCTGACTCTGTAACATGAAAGCAAATCCACTCACCTAACAGATTTAAGGGATTCCTTTTCACTTAAGCTTTCAAACCTTTCGGAGTAGGTATTGGTGCTGTTCTGGGTTTGTGAAGTGCTGAATGGGGACCCATTCCCAACTGGGGTCTCTGCATGTTATTGTAATGTACATATTCACCGCTCCTATAGAAGTGAAAATATGAAAGCAACATAAAACTTGACAGACCCATTTGGGGCATGTAGAAATTAAATTGCAGCAAAAAGGAATAAGTGGGAGGGAAGGGTATAGGGGAATGGGGTAAGGAAGCACACCCTGGCTGTCCTGGATACTCATCACTTCAATAAAAATGTCTGCCTGCTGTGGTAGCCTGTCAGAAAGAAAAGTGAGTAACGTGGGAAGTTGCATAGCTGTCCAAAAAGAAGTGAAGTGCCAGGGCAAAAACATACCATACTTCCCAGAATGCCGAATACATTGCCAGTCACTATGCAACAAATGTGAAAGCTCAACATAGATCCTGAATTGCTCTGAACAGAGAGGAGACAATCTGTTTAAAGGAACAATATCAGCATAAAAATGTGTTTGGAAATATAGTGTGTGCATGTGAGACTGAGAGAGAGAGAGAGAGAGGGAGAGAGAGAAGACAGTAATAAGATCACGTCTAGGAACTCAGTGGGAGTTTCCAATTTCATTGTTGTTTTATGTAAGTTGGGCACTGGGTAGAATGTGATCCATGTCACTGAGGAGGTTATATCTAGGGACCTACCCAAATCACGATTGTGTGGATTTTGCAGAGGTGGCCTAATTTTGAAATTTCTGCAAAATCTGCAAGAAAAAAAACCTTACCAAAAATAAAATGCTGGCTCCCCCAGCAGGGCTGCTGCCACTAAGTGAGAAGGCAAGATGGCTGCCACCCTCCCCTTCCCTTTGGTGCTGATTGGCTGAGAGAGCTGCCTGTCATGTGGTTCTGCCCCTTCCACCAATCAGCAACGAAGGGCAGGATAGCCCTCTCAGACAATCAGCAGTGAGGAGTGAGGTGGTATGTGGAACAGCCCTCTCCACCAATCAGTGGTGGGACTACCAAGGCCCCTGTTTCAATCCAGCCACAATAAGCGCTCAAAAATAGTGGCTGACCCAGCAATCTGCCTGTGAAATCGGCCAGCTGCCTCCTTGGGGTAGGTAGACCCCCTGGTTATATCTGGTATAACTTTCTACAACTACCAGTCAGGGACAAACATTTAAAAAACTCATTGCCACAAGCTGGTATGGTGAAAAGAAAAATACCACTTGGCCCATGCCTTGCTGCCAGAGGCAGTTCTTTTGGGCAGGTGGGATGGAGAACCATTCAGCAACTCCTGTCCAGTATCAAAGCAGCTCTGGATGTGGTTGGGGAGGGGTGGTTGGGAGGGGACCAACTACACAACCTCCTTCTGCCTCTGTGAGAAGAGAATGAGAGAAAGAGAGAGACAGAGAGAATGGTGCTTTTCTCTCCTCAATTCCAGTGAGGTTATACTGGGGTAATTTGGGGAAGATTGTACTGCTGTCCTCTACTATCCATCGGTGCTATGAAAAAAGGACTTCCATTTCAGAGGCTGTTAAGTTTGGACCTGTCAGTGTGCACTGAAGTCTTTCTTTTTTTTTTTGACCAAAATGACTAAATACGTTAGTTAAATGTATTTTAGAAGCTAAGGGAATATTTTAACCAGTAAATAGGCTGCTATCTGTGAGAACAAGGAACATTTATCACCCAGCCTCTGGCTGAAAGGGCCTTTTCTGTTTAATTCCACTGTCAAGCATGTGGGTGATTTTACTTCTAAAAATGAGAAAGAGCTATGAGAAATGAGAAGACTCTGCACCTCAGGAGACCCAGTTCTTACACTGATCTGATGAGGAAGAGGGCAAACCATGTTGAAGAACTCCCCTGTATGCACATAGAGCACAGGGACTAAATGCTTCACGGAGCTTCTGCATATGTGCAACAAGAACAACCAGACATCTAGTGCTTTTCTTTATTTTTTTATTGAAAGCTTCATCAAAGAAAACAGAAGTTTAAACCTAACATCCACTGATCTACAGAAAGCCCCAGGAGTGGAAAAATGGCAGCTATTAGGGTTGTGGTACAAATGGAAAACAAAAATTAAAAAACCCCCAACATAATAGCAGTAGACATTATTCCAAGACATCAACACAAGGATGCCCATATAAATAAGATCCATAATTTACTGTTTCCCAGAGGTTCTTTAGTCTACAATTTGGCAATAGTGAGGATGTAAAGATTTGAAAGAACCCCTGTCTCAAAGATGTGATACATTTTTCTTGATAGGAGAGTCATCTAGCTTCAGTGCTACTTTGATTTTCTTAAAGATGGAAGCTTTTAATTCTCCTTTAAATAGGAAAACAATTAAAATTTCCTTTACAAATACTGGATGCTTCCTCCTTCTACATAAATTATTTTTCCTCAAGAAAAGAAAATGATTTACTCAGCTTTTTTCCACTTTAGGATGCATAACTGTAGTTATGCTACCATTATGTTGTCCTCTTTAACCTGATTTTTGGGAAGTTCTTAAAATATAACTGATGGTAAATTCCACCAGAAACATACATTCTTCATCCTTGAGAAAGAAAACAAAAGACTGAAAATACGATGAACACTGGACAGATTTTTTTTTTTAAATCAACAGGCCTAGATCTCTGGGGGTATTGAATTCCTTCTGAGATTGAGGCCTATAAAGAAAAATGGGTTTGCGGACCTTTCAACAGCTGACATTTTTCACTTCATTACAAAATTTTATTAGGGTGAAAGGAAATTGTCTGTCATTGGTGAGGAATAAAAACCAGAATAACTGATATAGACACAAGATATTTTCTTATCATGGGAAGCAAAAGAACCATTTTTGTACATTTTGTCATTTTTTTATGTTGATTTTTAACAAAGAACACATCAACAAAGGGGAGAGAACTGGTCTCTTCTGCATGCTCTGAGGCATGAAGATGAATCTGAGGGGTGCAGACAGCGTTCCAGTCTATTTGGATGATATGACTGATGTGGAAGTGTGGTGCTTCTTTTGAGGGAAAAATAATTCTCTCCTCGTTTACCCATGCCGCTCATTTGCCTCTTGCTGATTCCAGAAATCCACTTTGTTGAAGAATATGAACAATGTCCTGCTGATACACCCCTTCCTTCTGACAAAGTGTGTACATGACTAGTCAGTGTGCATGTATTAGAAAATGAAAGGAATCACCATTATTAGAGAGAAAATAAATGTCATCAACCAGAAAGGAGAGGCTCCCTGGAATAATCTGCCTGTTGTTTTGTTGTTATCTTTTGCATTTCCATCACACCCTTAGTATTTCCTCAGTTCATATGGGCTACCTAGAAGACCTGGAAAAATCGGTCGCCCAAGGACACTTCTTTTACATCAAGACCAATTGCAAGTTAAATAAAGTTTTGTAAAGAAATGTTGGCCATGTGTGGATCAAACATAACTATCTTCAACTACCACATTTGGTCTCATCACTAAAACTGGACTGATTCATTACTTTAAGCCTACTATCACTCTTTAGCATGACTCTTACTGTAGGTATAGTGCAGAGAGTCTGTTTAAACCTGTTTTACTCATGTCAACCTCAGCATTAAAATGAAGAGGCTGGCTGATAAGTGCTATTAAGCTTAAAATTATGAACCAAGGCAACTTGTTAAACATTGAGTATCAATCTCATCCTTCAGTACCATAGACAACATAATATAGATCCAAATACTATGACATATTAAAAATAAACTTTATTACAATGCAGGCTTCCTCAAATTTGCTGAATTTTGGTACACATACATACATAAATAAGACCCTTCATTTGATTTTTACTCATGTAAAAACCTATTTTAATGCTTATGCCCATTGCAGAATCCCTCACTTCCCTG